GTCCCCTTCCCCCTCCTCCAGTCCCCCCTCTCCTGCCCCCTACTTACTAGCATGGAGTTTTGGTAAGCTCCTTGCAGCAGTGAGCAGGGCTGCCCTAATCTCCAAAGCTCTCCAAATCAATTCAGAGAGTTTCAAATCAATTTGGACCTTTTAATTGGTTTCCTGATTCAATTCAGAGATTTGGCTGCCAAATCTCCTCCTAATTGAATCAGCACCCAAAGTTTCACCCAGCCTTATCATATATCACAGCGAAGTCAACCAGGAAGTCCACCCTATAAGACAGAATAGGAATCAGTGGAATGCCAAACTGACCTAAAATGAAATATTTTTGATTTATTTGACAAACTGAACTCTTTTGGAAAAAGAGAAAAGCTGATTATCTAACTGCTGATAGATGTTGTGGTTTCGGGAATAACATTTAGCTGAGAGAACATGACAGAAAATGCACATTAAAGTTTGGTTTATTTCTGATACTTCTAAGTTTTGAAGTTCATTTCATATCTGAATTCTGATTGCTGGGCCAAATTCTTTTTCAGTTGTGCTTTAAGGATTCCCAGTATATCTACAGTTGAATTTTTTTTCATTCCCACCAGTGAACTGAATATTTCCCTGGGGAATCAAAACTCTAATAATACAAAATCTATTTGTTAGTGCATCCAATCAGTACTAACACAGGAATGAAAATAAGTCTGTTTCTAAATCAAAACACAATGCAGCACAAATCTGACTAATCCAAAAAATATACTATGTTTTTCACAAACTAACACAAATATATGTTTGTATAGAACTTATTAACAGTGAAAAGTCATTTCAATATAAAGAATCAAAAGATAATGGACATCATCAAGAAAGGTAGATACTTTGTATTTCCTATCACTAAAGTTAGTAAGAAGACTAGTTTATAATTAGAGTAAAATTTATTTTACTTTGCTTATATGGAGTTATGAGAAGGCAGTTAGTTTTGTTGATATAATACATCATAAAAACAAATAACGCACATAAAAATATAAGTAAAACAATCTATTTGTGGTTTTTTTCAGATTTAACAAATCAAGTAGAGACAGTTGGACTCAAATTTCAGAAAGTAACAGCTGAAATGGACCACTACAAACATCTACTCATGTAAGACACTATTTATTTTGTGTTGTGATTCTGCTGTCAATTTGTGTTCAAAACTGTGACTGAGTATCTTTAAAAAAAAAGAGAGAATTACATGCTGATTGTCAAAGAGGTTTAGTATAAGATGTGTGGCATATGGTATATGGCCTATTTTAAATTTTATTAAGGTTTGTTTACTAAGGTTACTAGAGCTTGCACCTAGTGTTTCTGAGAACAGTACATTAATTCTATGTCAATGGATGTCTGTGCTGTGACGGAGACCAAGGAGACTGTGTAATAAATATACTCTTCTGGGGCAGCCAAAATCAGCTGCTCAAACAGAAAGCACTAGCCATAACTTGATTAAGTCTGCTGGAGCAATTAAATCAAGTCTGCTGGAGCGTGGTAATTACTGCACTCCAGCAGCCTCCAGCATCCCATGTATCAGTATCCCTATGCTTAAAAATGGTGGCAGGGATGCTTTATCTAAAGCTCATTCAATGTGCACATTAATTACAGTGGCTGTGGTGCTGCTGTAATTAAAGTGCCCCTGCTCACCCACTCGTGGAGCATGTGTATAAATGCTCAGAGATGGTAAGCGATCAAGTGGAACCATAACTGAGATTCGTGTTGTGACTGGTGCACATATACACTATTTCCTACTCACACATGAGAGGAACATGCCGGTTGAACTCACAGTGGTCTGTGCTGCTTTGGGTTAAACCTCACCTTAGTGGGATTATTAGAGAGGGGAAAAAAGGAGGAGGAAAGGAAGAAGCCTATGCACCTTCTATTTCAACATAAAGGAAGCTGAGGAAAGATTCCCTTTCCCCAAACTCCCAGAACGGTGGGGAAAGAGATACTGCTCCTTACAACCTCTTCTGTACTTCCAAACTATTCTACTATATTTGTGTTTTATAAAAATAAACAAAAACTATTTTAAAAATTGACCCCTTGGTCCTTCATAAAGAGGCATCAGAAAATCATCATTCTGGTTTAATGTTAAAGGTCCTCCTTAATAATTCACAAATCAACTCATCTTCCTCTCAGAGCTTTACTCAACGCTTATTGAAGCCAATGTATCTTTATCCCATACACATGGAAAGAAAGAAAAAAATGCAAGTAATCTGATTTAATCAGGCTACAAAATGTTATTCTGGAAACTAGCAGCAATAACTGCTATAATGCTGGTCACAATTAAACTGACCTTTAATATTTCCACCTTGAGGAAGACTGATGTCAGTTCACTGATGTCACCACCACTCCAAAGTTGATCTCCAACCACCTATCACGTATTAAAGGGTCGGGTGAAGGGGTTTGTCATTTTGTTGCATCCAACATTAGGAGCCCAAGCTATGTTCCTAGTACCTGCCACCTGCTAAACTGAGGCAATTTGAACCTAAGGACTTTACTAAAAGCAGATAAAAAACTCTAGTCCTTTTCTAATGCCAGGGGCATGGAGGAGTTAAAAAAAAGTAGTTCAGCATAGAGAGAAAAAAAAAAAAAAGAAAAAAATCAGGGTTTCTCTTGTCTTCACACTTGTAAAACAGGTCAGTGGTTTACCTGAGCATTACCAAGTCAGGTATTTTTCAACCACACCCAGATGTCTTGCTAGTCCTGACAAAGCCCCCCCGGCATTAAAAACTGTACTTCATTGACCTCAAGAGGAGTGATCAGTGCACAGATCAGCTCTGAAATGAGACCTGATTTTGTTTTCTGTTCTGAATTTTTTTTTCATCTTTGATAAGATAATATACATTAGAAGCTTTAACAGATCCATAGTGAAACCAGTGTGCATTTAAAAGGATCAGAACAAGAGCACATATATCCTTGAATGAGCTTTTTGCCCAGTTTAAAAGTCATATGGCCATGTACATTTGGACTTTTCACAATCTATAGAAAAATATTTTATTGTAAATAATTCAGAACTGGAATCCATTTTTATAATGATCTAATGAAGATAAATGTTACTACCTCACATTTTAAAGACAAGAGTAATGAGTTAGTATTATCAACCCTAAGAAAATGCCTGTCCACAGTCTTTTACAGACATTTCTCAAATTTAAACAAGATTTCCTTTAGTCTGAAGTTGCCATTTTCAGTTCCTATATTTGGAGAGCCTGATAATAACAAGTTACAAATATTTAGAATGCTTAGCAACAAAGTGCTTTAATAGTAAGGCAAGCTCTCAGTATGAAAAACACATTTAATGTAGTTAACTATACAGTAAAAAAACCTTTCCAAATGTAATTTTAAAATATCAATGTAATATGGCTATAATTTAATAAAATAACATTCTATTTCTGTTTAAATATAAATATGAGGTTTAAGCATGGTTATTACTTGGAGAAGTAATGCCATAGGAAAAAGAAGCCTCCAAAGTTTCCAGCCTAATACCTTCCTCCATTGTTACTGTAGGTGATAATTGTGATTTTTAATTAAAACCTCCATCTGCAAGCTAATACTTTTCTTGTTTACTACAGTAAATGCCTTATATTTTACTTTATATTAGGTTATGCTTAGATTACAGTAAAACATAAAACTAACTAATAACACATCATGAGACAAATGATTTTTATATATACATAGAATTAAAATGTCCTTTCTTTGTAGTTTTGACTTGCAGACTTATGAGATATAAATTGCATACCTCTTCTTATTCCTGATATAGTGTTTTTTAAAGAAGTTGTATATACTGACCTATAAAGAGGTAATATGTATAAAACCAAGTATATTTTGTTATATAATTACAATGTTAAGGTTTAATGTAATAATCATTCATACAGAAATACAATCAATACCCTATTTAAACTTAGTTCATCCAGGTGTGGACCTTACACTTAGACCTGATCTCAGTGATAAGAAATCAATCTAACCCCAAAAGAGAATGCAAGTTCTGTACACACAGACCAGTCTAAAAATGGCAGAATGTGGTCTAAGATAGACCTGGGTTGATGTACACCCAAACTTAAACAATCTAGACTAGACCATAAAATGCAATTTCTGTTCAGTTACTTGCACATCTGCATGCCTGGGAAGCCCAGCTCCTTGCCCCAACCCCTTGAGGTGTGCTTTTCCTATCCACCCCCCTGGCATGGGGCTATTTTTAGCCCCCCACCCCCCTTGCCATGGACCAGCCAGCTCCCCCTGCCCCCAAACCCCCAGCCTGCAAGCCACTCTGAGTGTCATTTTTGTCAGTGTTTGCTGCTGCCAGGAGCCAAGGAAGTAAGTATCAGTGGGCAGGTGGGGCAGGAGGGATAGGGGTGTAGGTTTTATGAGGAGATTGAGGGGCTAAAATTAGAGGGTGATCCTTCCCAAACCCTTGGTCTTCCCTAAGCCTCCCCATGGATCCCACAACCCCCTGCCCCCCTTGATCCTGCCAAAACCTCCTGAACCTCAGCAATTTCCCATGGAGCCCACCAACCTCCACCATCATCCCCGACTGCTCCTGCGGATCTCCCCTGTCCTCCCGATCCTCCCAAACCCTCCTGCAGATCTTCTATGCTCCCCCGATGCCTCCCACAGATCCCACCTGCCCCTCCATCCCTCTGATCACTCTTGCAAATGCTGCCTGCCACAATCCCCCTCGCAGATCCCTCCTGCCTGCCTCCCCATCTCCCTGATTCATCCTGCAATTGCTACCTGCACCAGCAACATCCCTGTGGAGCCCTGAGCCTGCTTACTCCCCCACACCATTCCTCCACCCACCCCCCACTAGTCTCTTCCATCCCAACTTATCCTAGATTGGATATAATATAACTAGCAAGGTAGTTATAAGTATACGCAGCCATAAGAATGTTGACTATGCTAGGGCTCCCATTTTATTTCTTTCTGTATTTATTTATTTAAATTTACATGCTGTCCTTCCCAACAAAGCTCAGGGTGGCTTACAGAAAACAGCAAAATACTTTACAAAACAAGCTAACATGAGAACAAAAAAAAAAAAAAAAACATAATAACTTATAAAGGCAACAGCACAAGGACATTGTCTTACCCTGGACTCCCCCTGGGGCTGTGACATTTATATATCAATTAACTGAAGCAACTGTGCTCAGGAGGCTCTAGCCCTTCCCATCCTTCCTCAGCATGAATGACTGAAGATATAGGATTCAGTTAGGGGATGACAGGGTATATTACAGAATCATAGAAAAGTAAGGCTTGGAAGGACTTCTGGAGGTCATCTAGTCCAATCCCCTGCTTGAAGGAGGATCATTCTTAGCCAAATCCTTCTGTCTATCCAATCGATCCTGTTGCACAACCAAAAGTATATTGCCCCAAAACACCAAAAGCACCCTAACCTGTCATAGGTAAAGAAGAGGGATAATGGGGGTCAGTGTCCTGCTGCTATAAGAGTTGTTAAAGAGTACTGAAGAGATCTAAGGAAGATCTCGTGCTATACAAGAAGGCAAAAATCCATATAAATCCAGTCCATATTAGTCTGACCCTGGAGTAAAATTCCTTTCTGTTCTCAAATGTGATGATCATTCTGACCATGAGTTGATGGGGCAATACCCTGTAGCCAGGACTCTCCAGGTTTTAGTCCCAGCAGGAACACTGGCATACCCCAATCATAAATCTCCAGCCTTGGCTATAACCAACACCCAATGTTTCTGTGAAATGCAGAAAACCCCCTGACACCTGTAGTAATAGGAGAGAAGAAATTCCTTCTGAGCCCTATGCAGCAATCAGCAAAGCTGAGAAGCACAGGAAAACCAAATATCCTCTACTCTGCTCTTCAACCTGTCAGCAGCAAGGATAACTTGACATGTCACCTTTCACTGGACAGTCAGAGCTCCCCTTTCTGTGTCCCCTCCATCAACTCATCCCAGCTCTTTTAATCTCTTTTTTTTTTTTTGTAACTAAGCCAATTGTGGAGTTCAGCTTCATTCTCTGGGTGCTGAGCACGGTGTTCTCCAATACAGACCTGCTCTTGGCTGCAGAGTCTTCTCATTTATCTCCCAACAATCCTGGCATAGCTAATTGTCACGGAGTGGGGCCTAGGAGCGGCCGTGAGCCCGCTAGGT